TAAGGTATCGGCCAAGCGATGGTACCTTAAGTACTTTAAATTCGTTGTCTGCATCGTACGACATAATGAAAAGTTTGATGTGTCAATCCTCGCAATTCTCGCTCCTTTCCCCAATAGTGGAGAGTTGATTACTCAACTTGATTTATTCAAAGAAAATACACTAAACATTTCCTTGGATTATTATAACAATCATTAAATAAGGTCAATACAGGTGAATACACGTGGTTAAACGCACGGAGCCACGAGTCCCTTCCTAATTTAATTTTCATTAAATCTTCGTACTTTACGCGCCATGCCGTGCTTGCAATGTGACTGCAATTAAAGCAGCGATATCGAGCATTAATTTCATTAATTTCACATTATATATCGTTCAATCGGAACGAGTCATGTGCCAAGCGAATCGCGCGACCATAGAGCAATAATACCGAAAACCGCTTATCTCGATCGTTAACAAATATAAAACAACTATAAACCATTCTACCCGCGATCGCCAATTAATCGCCAACCTTCCCTCTCAAACCCACCCACCCCCCTCCCTCTCCGCCCCGCCCCACGCACACTCACACCGCATTACCGAAATATTCTGAATTACGTAAGCCACAGAATTATGCCTCGCAAGCGCATCTTATTGGAAATGAATCACTCCCATGGCTAAAGTCTCGCTCCAACCGGAGTCGATCCAGAGCAATTAAATCCGAGCCCAACGACCCCCGCAGTGATCCAAATAAGGCGAGCGCACGCGCTGCTTCCTACAAATCCTGAGAGTCGTCGTTTTTGCGAGTCTCTGCCGCCGCCGCCGCCGACGCCAATCGGCTTCCCCATCATAGATAATCGATCCTAGGCGCCATTGGCCCTGACACCCCAAGATCATGACGCGGCGTGGATCAGCGTGTATATGTGTGTCTTGCGTGCGGTTGCGACAACCGAATGAGAATCGCACCTCCGCATAATGGTCGCTTCTCGTTAATTATCGATACTACAACTGACCACTGATTAAAAAACTTACTTGACTGGCGTGGACGCAAGGTCGAGTGTCGAATCCATAAACGAAAATTCATCGCGTATCTTTAAATCTTTAAAGTAGTTGGGCGCTTCGATCGCTATTCCGACACATTTCAGACGATGTCGACCGGATCGCGAATACACGTAATACGCGTAAATCCTCGATTATGCGTTGTCACGTAGAAGCGAGATAACGCGATGGTCGGTCTTTCGATGTGACTTTTGTCTCCATCCTCCTGAATGGACGGATTATCGTGACGGCGATACTTTACGAGGAGGTACAATGGTGGGGGGCGGGGGAGGGGGCGCACGAGCTGACAAACGTCACGAACTTGTGCACCGAAAATACATGGTGAGCGATAAAGAAGCCCACTGATGCTTATTATATGAAGATCAACCGCTCGATGGTGGTTGGGGGAGGGGGGAGCCGACGAGCGTCGTCATCCCAAGTATCTCAAAGTTTCTCGTCCCTGGCCTTTCGCCAAGTAAAAATTGCTCGTCTCGATGTATCCGCCGCTCCAGTCTCCGTACGATATTTACATCTTCGTAGTATGAGAGAGGGACAGAGAGAGAGAGAGAGAGAGAGAGAGAGAGAGAGAGAGACGGAGACTCAATCGGCGGCTCTAGAAAGAAGATAATTTCAGTGTGCTCGGTGACGGCGTTGCGCCCACGGCTTATTACACGCGATCTATCGACTCTCCTCCTGGCGGCGCCCCTTCTTCGGCCCCTCGACGGTAAGTAGCCGCGGGGGTGTGGACGATAAAAGCCAAGAACGCTCGGCCAATTTTATGCAAGTGGCGGTATGTGGCTCTCGAGGACGGCACTTGGGCATTTGGTAGTCGAGAGAGGTCGCGATAATTAGTTGGACGAGGTAGGAAGCCATTGTTACAGAAGCGGGGGTGGCGTTATGGCGTTGCTTCCGATCTCGCGCAATTTACTCGTGAGAGGTTGGTTGCTCGGTGGCGCAATTTCGCCGCCTCTGCCCTCGATTACCCTTTAAGTCTGCAGATCCGAGCTACCGAGATGCGAGCAAAAGAGAAATCTGCAAAATTTAATAGCCGTAATTGTTCGAGAGTCAGTGGCCTTTAAATCCCGGCTTGAAAAGTAAACGGAAGAGAACCGATTGATGGCGTGTTTGCGAAATTTAAGTAAAGTGCCTCATTACCGTGAACATAACATGTATTTGAGAATTATTACAGTATTGATTTGACGAGGATTCGATGAAAGTAAGAGCAAGAGTAAGAGTAAGAGTAATAGAGGAGAGGGGAGTGGAGTGGTGGGGTCTTACGAGGACAGCGCGGTCCGTCTGACTCGCGAGCTCCCTACCGAGGTAGCAATGAATTAATTAAGAACCTGAGCGGGTAAATGATCGAAAGGTGCAAATCATTAAAGCTTTATTATCACTCGTTACGATGCAGTTTCAATGCTAATCGAGACTGATATACAATTGCTGCCGCGCGAGCCAAAAATAAGCTTGGAATACTATCGAGATTACATTTCGAGTCTCACGAAAAGGAGCAGAGGGAGATTAAAAAGTCGGCGATCGAAAAAGGAGAATGAAAAGTGGGAGTCGTGGTAGGGAGGAAGAGGTTGGTCAAGAGCACCTCGGCTCTCGTTATGCACTCCACCTCTCCATCTTCGTCGCTCGCTGTATATATAAAATCCGCCCCGTAATACCGCCGACGCTAAAGGGAAAATGATCGATTTAAATGCTAAACTAATCGTCAAAGTAGCCGGTGTGCTCCCTCCTACTACTACTTTTACTCTTACTCTTACTCTTGCTCCTCCTCCTCCTCCTCCTCCTCCTCTTCCTCCTCCTCCTCCTCCTCCTC